GTATGTGTCTGTAAGGGGCATGACTGGGGTATGCTGGACTTAAAAAAAAAAAAAGAAAAAAAAAGAGAGAATGTTTGTATAAGTGTGTGTATCTGTGTGTGAGTGTGTTTCCTGCTGATCTGGCCCCAGCTGTACCCAGATGGCCTGAGAGCACAGAGTGCTAAGCTAACAGAGACGAGAGCGAGAAAGAGACATTCACCCTGAGTTAGTGAGCTGGAAGAACATTGTGGTCTGACACCCCACAAAGAATGACACCACCTCTACACTATTTACCTCATGGACCAAACCTCAGGACACATAATAATAATACAGATCCGCATTTCATCCATAGAACACGCAGCCAATTAAATGCCCTCTATTACACGCAGCAGGTATTTACCGAATGGACTGTAATTATTGGCGCATTTACTCAGGCAAAAACTAACCAGCTCGAGTCTAAATGGTCTTTATTTTAAGTTACTTCCATCCTGACATTTTAAGGCCTAATTATCAGTTCCCTGATAAATTCTTTTTGGTTCTACAAATCAAAAAGAATAACAGTGGCTAGAAGTACCTCACACATTTCTTTCTTTAATTACAGCAGACGAGACATCACACCTAGATTAATGAGGTGTGTGTTAATCTGTCACTTTTCTTTTCTTTTTTTTTTTTTTTTTTTTTTTTTTTTTTATTAATTGGCAAATCCGTTTGTCTATGAAATACCCAAAAAAAGCAGAAGACATCTCTATCTTGTTTTGTGTCTTGTTTTGTTCAACTAACAATCCAAGACTCAAAAATATTCAATTTCAAATTATATAAAAACAGGAAAAAAAGTAGAAAGGTGTCATTTGAGAGGCTGAAACCAGCAAATACTTGACTATTTTGCTCAATTCAATAACTTATTACATTGATTACCAGAATATTTGAAGATTAATGTCCTGTCAGTTGACTATTCATTTCTGGTCTAGCTGAGACCAATTCTTCAGGATAGGCATGTGTAGTTAGTCAGTATACTGATAACAGCAGTGTAGTTCACACTAAAGGAACCATCTTATACTCACCATGAATCTGAGTCTGTCTGCAGTATACTGAAGAAGACCCCTTGTTCAAGTAAACTTCATCCTAATAAATAATTTGTACCACAGTTTTTGGAACATCTACCTGTCTTGGTTTTGGTCTCCTTTTAGTCTGTCCTCTTCTCCACCCTCGCATCTTCCCCACACTCATTTCTCATGCACTTTGTTAAGCCCGCTTCTTATGCCTTCCGAGCTTTCATTTTCCTCCATCTCCCTTTCACCTTCTGTGATCTCTTTTGTCCTTCAGTATCATCATGCACTACCTTCACTTTATCCCTTTCTCTCCTTCTCCTCCTCCTGCTCTGCTCTCTCTGTGTCTTTAGGTTGGTCAGTTCAGCAAGGCCGAGTTACATTCCTGGGATGCCTGCTACATATGGTCCACATTCCAGCCGGTCTGCCGAGAGGCCCACCGCTCCTCACCGCTGGCCCTGCAGAGACCAGCCAACAGCTAAGTGTGCTACAGCATTGCTTCAGCCTAAAATGATCTCAACACAGCTTCAGTTTAGCTCAGCCTGTACCTGCATGAGGTTAGACCTTATTAAGCCTCACCAATCAAAACTCAGAACTGAAGACCCAACAATGACATTTCATTTAGCTCTCTTCCTTTGCATACAGGCTGCTTTGGTTTCTTTCTCTGTATATCTTTATCCTCAGGCTACTAGCTCTGTCTCTATCTATGTGTGTGTGTGTGTGTGTGTGTGTGTGTGTGTGTGTGTGTGTGTGTGTGTGTGTGTGTGTGTGTGTGCGCGTGCGTGTGCGTGTGCGTGCAAATTGTACAAGCCACAATAGGCACTGTTCTTTAACTAGGTCACCTACAGAAAACTGAAAAACTAAACCTGGCAACTGCATGTGCAACCTTACTAGAAACTTCCAAATCATACCAGGATTACTCTACCAAACTAGTGCAGGTTAACTCATTATGCCTGTATTTACCAGATGAAACAATTCATCTGATTTTAGTGTTGCATTGTTGCTGCTACAGAGAACTTTTCCAGTGGACAGGCACACATAGTTCAGCATGTGTTGTCCATATGAGTACGGGACTGGTCTGGTAAACCACACAGCCCCGCTTGAGGAGTGGTGACAGTCTCTCTCCATATGGAGCACTTACAATATAGTGTGGGACGCATTTGGAATACTGTTAGCGCTGCTTCACCAACTACTATATCTGCAGACTTTGCCATACGACACACACCCTCTCATCCTTGTCCCGTGCATGTGTGCACATGCAAGCACAGACAGAGAAGGATGTCTGTTTCTCCATGAGATGATACCATGAACGCACCGATGCACAGCATGACAACACCTGCCAAGGAGCTCTGGTTTTCTTAACCAGATGCAGACACACACCTTTTCAGCCCAACTGGTTCTGTTGGAGGTTTTTTCCTGGTAAAAAGGAGTTTTTCTTCTCCACTGTCGCCATGTTCTCTCTATGATATTGTAAGGTCTTGGACTTACCCTGTAAAGTGCCTTCAGATAATGCATGTTGTGATTTGGTGCTATAAAAAAAATGAATTGAAATTAATTACAAATTCTATACTAATTATGAGCGACATTTAAATATTCAACAAACCATGCTTTATGCATACTAAAGCATGAAAAATGTTAGCCTAAGCTAGTCAAAGTTATCCCTATGAGGCTTTTTGGGTGTGTCCGTAAAAATGTGCAACCTCACTGCAGCTACCGCATTTCCTCCGCAGATCCTCCCCTCTCTGATTGGCCATCAATAACAGTCAATGTTCAGCCCTGCTCAATTACACCAAGTCACTTGATGGGCAGGTCATTCATAACCTTAAGTTGGCAGCGGAGGAGTGACTCATCAAATGACACATTTTTAAATTCTATGGTTCTGATCAATGTCAGCAACACTGACGGGGTAAAACGGTTCCAGATCCTTCTGTGGGTATTTTGGAAAGTCAAGTAAAAGGCCTGTTTGTCAGGCTAAACCCTTCCCAATTTGCAGACCCACAAATATACACATACTGCATAAAATATAGCAAATACTCAAACACACACACGCAAAGATAAATGCATTCATATGCACTAAAAATAACAACTTTCAGGATGACTTGACATTTGACTCTAGATAATAAGGCACAAGGACATTAAATTACTGCCACAAACACCAGATTCCAATCTTTCTTCCCTCTTACATGCCCTTTCTGTGTGTGTCTGTGTCTGGGGAGTGGCGCAATGGACGTCACTGCTGGACTGCTGTATTAATCACATCTAGCCACGCAGAGATAACGACAGTGCCGGCTAACCACTAACACACACATACGTAGTTCAATCAAATGTGGCTAAACAATCAGAGCCCAGACAAAAGCAAACACTCAAACAAGATAGCAAAAGGGAGAAGGAGGAGAAAGAGGGTGGAAAAGAGCTCATATAGGGGTAACTTCTTAATCGTACAGAGTGGTACACTATTCTGTACAGTATGTAACAGCAGTGAATAAGGATTTTATCTGACCAGCAATTCAACTGAGGATTTATAAAGTCATTAAATTTGTCACGAATCAACAATGATTGCAGCTACTGAGGCTGCAGATTCAGTTCCTTTTTACAAAAAACATGACATTGCTGTGGACTAATCTGGAGCCCATTTCATGCAGTTACAATCCTTATAAGTTCACTATGACGCTGTTAACAATAACAACAGTTTCACATCCTTTTTTTCATACCAGTCTTTAAACGCTTATAATGTTCCATTGTAACCAAAGTCAATGAGGCCTTGTAAATACATTATCACACTCCTCTATAGGCGAAACTAGTTCTAACACAGCACTTCCTGCATGGAATGTGGGTGGGGCGTGTACTGGGACTCTGATGTTATAACCACTGAGGTTAATTCTTATTTAAAAAAAAAAAAAAAAAAGAAAAAAAGAAAAAAAACAGCCCAGGGCCTGGACATTCAAATGGTGGCATCCTCATAATCCAGATGTGTCCAGTGGCCCAGACTCTGACTGGCCTGCAGCATCATGTATAATTCACTATTCATAGCCAAAGAGAGGATAATTACAGCAGGCCCAGCACTCTTGAGGAAAGGGTAGGCAGTGGGGGAAGCAGAACTGAACCCCGTGCAACTAACAAGCATTTTCCAGAGCATCTCCAGCCTGAAAAGTACATTGTCTTTGAGACATCCCGTCAGGACGAGGAGGAACGAAGAGGGGAGAAAAAAAAGGACATTGCTACTTTTTCAATTTGACCAAGTAAGCTTGTCAGGCCCTTAGAAAATAAGCAGCAAAGGAAACCTGTAATGAATCCTTCAGAACTACAATCTGGGGAAAAAAAAAGGCATTGGCCAACAGAAGTGGCCATGATTTACACAAGGTCAAACTATCCATCAGAAGCTTTTATGTCGTGCAAAGATCAGAGACGACAAGGTCTGAGCTGGCGTTTGGCTGACATAGATGGGATGCAGGTGGAAAAAAAGCCATTGGTTGCTGAACAGAATGCGAAGATGGGGAGATACAGCTCGGCAGCCAGTCCTCACTGAATTATAACCAGACTCAATGCAGTTTTCGACCAAAGAATTTGCGCTTTGGAACCTGAGTGTTGATAAGTTGTCCTGTGTTTACCCACAGCCTTCCTTAATGTTGAAAGCTTTAGACTGAGATTGCATAAGCAAAGGTTCGAGAGCTCTGAACACCGCTTTTAAGATTACATAACCCCTGCCGCTAGAATTCATAGAAATTGGATTGGGGGGGTGGGGGTGGGGGGGCAGAGTACATAGACTGTCTAAACTTGCAACAGGCTGATGAGCACAGTGCAATAACCCGGGTGCCGGAAAAAAAAAAAAAAGGCAAGCAACGGAAACCAAAACAGGCAAATGTAAAAAGTTTCAAGGTATAAAAACTACAATATACAACAATATGTCACATGGATACATTTCTTAAATTTACTGTTAAGCAGCATTCCACAGGTTGACTCAAATACAACCCTTACCTCCATCAATTAACACCTCTGCAGACTCCTGGAAGTAGATCCTGATGGTATGACCTAAAGTTGATTAAAAGACAAGAAGATCAACTGTGGGCACCTGGAGATACTGAGGGGGTAAAAACAGCACAAGACAAGCTTGAAAGGGGAAATGAATGACGCGGAGAGAGATAGAGAAAGAGAGAGAGAGATGGGGGGGAGAAAGAGAGAGAGGAGGAGGAGGAGGGGGCAACTCTCCACATCCATGTTGCGCTACAAAGGGTGGGGCCTTGAGGAATTCACTCTATCTGCTTTCCTCTCGACTTAAAGCTTATCTTAATTAGACTATACAGGGTCAGTCTGCCTGTGCACTCAATTATGATTGAGTTAAACGTATCGCAACACTACGGAATGACTCCTCGATATTCTCGGACAAGTCGAGCAGACTACTGCTAACGTAGACCCAACTCTTACGCTTCCCCGTCCTTCCCTGCTGGATTTATATTCATTCAACGCCCAAACGTTCGCCTTGCTTTTAAGTCACACCCTCCCCATCATTTTTCTAGTTATATCCTCGCACTGTATCGTAGGCAAATACAGAAAATAAAGATTTTACACAGGCCTCGACTGACTGACACACCACCAGCAGCGCCAGATCAGTCCGTTTCCTCACTTTTGACTCACGCTACATCTTCATAAAATGATAATACATGACAAAATACCTTTTAAGATCGCACCGTAGCGCGCCCTGTTCTGTGGCCTTTAAATGTCACCTCCGCTAAAAAAAAAAAAAGTTTGCAAAATGTATTTGACAGTCGCACTTACTTTGATTCAGGTGAATCCACTGGCTCCAACGAGGCACTTGTCACTACGGTCATACTATATCAAATATGCGCAATTTGTGCCGCGCTTTGGTGAGGTTTGAGGATTATTAGGCTCTGTTCGGACTGTTTCCCCCACGCCCAGTTTGCCTGTGGCATTCAGCAGGGCTGGCTACTGTAAAGTTGCCACGTCCGTTACATTTCAGACTTATGAAACCAATACGACCTCCCAAGCAACAAAAAAAAACACACCCGATTTACTTCTTAACTGCGTAATATTCCAATTAATCTGGGCTACTGCGAAGGATTTAAGCTAAAAGATGCGCACGTCAAGATGGCAATACATTTGTTATGTAATATCTTCCTTAATGAAAATGACTGAAGAGATTCTTTAAAGCCGTTGGCAGATATAAGAGTCTCGGCCCTGACTGGCCACTCTCGAGGAGACACAGTCGGTTTTGTAATATTTTTCAGTGCAGAAGCCTCACACAGACCCTCAGCCACACCTTAACTCTCAATCAATTTTTTTTCTGACAGTTCCAGAGGTTTCGACGAGACGCGGAGCCCGCAAGTTCACCCTGACAAGCCTGTCGCTTTGTGTATCTCGAGCACTCCGCTGTTAACCTTTTAAACCTGTAAAAAGAGAAAGAAAAACGGTCCATTCCGAGTATCCGGTTGGCCGGTCCCACCCAGTGCTGCTCGCTGCTTCTCGGGGCTCCCTCCCCGGTCTCTCTCTCCGGTCCAACTCCTCTCTTCAAACCGGCTTCTCACTCCGATCAGCTGGCAGGGCCGTGACGTCAACACACAGCACCGGCCAATCAGACGCGAACCGGAAAAATCACTGCTGACGCCCACCGTATACGCAGGATGACGATCAGGTACATCGACCAATGACAGCGCAGATCTCTGTGAGAAATAAGGCGGACACTAGAAATGGTGACCAATGGCATTACATCCGCCCATGGGAGGCGTTTTATCCTCTGACCTATTAGGTGTTGGGAACTATTATGTGTGAAGTGTTAGGAACTTTTTCAACACCAGTAAGCTGCAGATGAAATTGAAATTATAGATAGTTGAAGTAATGAAATGTCTTAAGTTGGTGTTACTGTAGGTAATGAAAGGCCACCAGTCAACACTTCATAAAGTCAACTAGTTTTATTACTGTTATTTTTCAGACTGTGTCACAACAGATGTCAAAGTCAAATGTTGGCTATTGTATTGTTTTCAAGTCAAGTCAATTTTATTTATACAGTCTAATCTCTCAAATTTGCTTTAGAGGGCTGTATAGTCTTTAAATAAATTAGCCTTAAATACTCAATTCACATTTCAGGTAAAACTCCCCTGATTCTTTTCTCAAGAGTCAGGTTCACGTACAGTATAAGGTCTGGTGCTGAAGTACAACCAAACCTCAATCCTTTATTGTCCTTGGACGTCACTGATTCTAACACTGTCAGTATCCTTTAACTGTTCCCAAATCCAGGTTTAAAGCTTAGGGGTAAAAAGAGCTGTGTAAATCATTCATCAAATAATGCTATATGTTAAAAAGATTTTAGGGTCACATCGAAGATTCACTGTGCATTTCTACTGGTTTATACAACTGGAAGCAAATGCAAACTCTGACCATTATGCAATAAAAAATGTCAGTAGATTTAGGGTGTTATTATACAGTATGGCACTATATTCATTCCTAAAAGGCACCAGTACCACCAGTTGGACTTCTTGGTCTTTAATCCTGACAGTTATTGCACTGCTGATACAATGTCCCTAACTGCTCAAGTAAATGAGGCAGTGAAATGGCACTTCTTCCCCAAAAGTAAATTAAATTTATAGCTGTGGTACAGAGACACACAGCAGTTCTGGAACACACCCCTCCACTCATCTCTCCTTCATTATATATATTTATCATCCATGGTCTCCTCAGAGGTCCACATGTTGGACGCAAAATGTCCAAACAATCTAAACTCCTTAGCATTTCAAATTGTTTTTCAGCATTCATTTTGGCATCTTTTTTAAGCAAACACAGCATTCCTGTGGTTTGGAGTGGAGTAGGAATCGGGTTCTACTACCAAATAAGTGATTGCACTTCTCATGGACAGAAACCTCAATTGGAGGCTTGCTTGTTGAAGTCACTACAATCCCACATTTGGAAAAGAGAATGGAGTGTGCTACATTTTCCCCACTGAGCCAGAGAAAAAAAACAACAAAAAAAACCCTGAAACATTTGTGTAGCAGCTGTGGAAGTAACTCTCTCTTGAGGATTCAAGGTGAAACGAAAAATGCACTTGTTGTAATTTACATGATAAGATCTTTGTTGAGAAGATTAGCCATGCTACTGTTCGGATACAGTAGCAACAGAGTTTGAGGATTTGAGTGTGGCATGAAGACATGAACAGCAGGTTTATTCCTGAAATACAGTGGAGTATAGAGTTTCTGATACTGACAAGAAGAACCCAGTGCTGCATAATTGAAGATACCTGAAGTCTTAAGCCACTGCAGTGCATGCATGAGAAGAACCAAATCTTGAGTGAATTTTCTCATGACTTTTTAATGTAGCAGGTTTGTGTGTGCGTGTTGCACAGGCATATCGTCAAATATTAGCATGAATTTTGACAGTGAGTATCATTTTGGTTCTTCTTGCCTGTGCACATGCAGCATGGACACACAGATATTGCATGCAGATTTAGTTGTATGAGCGTGCACATATCCATGTACAAACTTTAAATGTACGTTTTCACGAAAGAAGATGTTCAAAAGAAAACAGTGTATACAGTATGGCGCCATCTCAGTCCATCTTTTGGCTGCGGCACAGGACGTTGACATTACGCCGACGGATCAAAGGATACAACCTGTCAACCCTTTTGTTGTGGCATATTTGAAACAGGCAGTAACACAATGCCACCTCAGCACAGTGACACAGCTTTTATTCTGTGCCTCAATTTATGTTGATGCATTCACAAAGCTGGGCAGGAATGCGCCACGGGCACACATCATTCAGGAAACCAATCCTTCCTCCCCTCAGCGTTCTTGCATGGTCTCAACCCACATTGTGAGGCGGTTGTTTCCTCCAGGAGCAGACTGTAACTGTTTTTTCCCCTTTTCTTTGTGTCTGTTGACTTAAACCCATCAGGGCAGGATGCACCATTAAGTTCATATTTCAGGGAAGGCGCGCTCTCTCACATACATGATTGTTGGAAAACAAATAAAACTGCTCCTGAGGTCTTTAGTACATAAACATTGAGGGAAGTGGAAGCTAGTTTAGTTTACTATGAGTGACCCCTATGTCCAGAGGTAATGCACATAAATACTTATGAGTTTATCAGACCTGAAGCTTCTTTGGAGGGGTGAATATGTTTTTGCTTAGTCTTGCATCACTTGAAATTGAAGGAACAGTTTGATTTTGGCATATTTTATAGATGGTATCTACACTCATGGATGCTTTCCTTATGTCCTTGAGTGAAGTCTGATCATTTGTGGGTTTAGCCTATCTCCATGTAATGACATTTGTAGAATTTTATAATTGTGAAAGTGAAACCTTTGGTTAGGCTTGTATTATTGTATTATTATTAAGTGGTAATATAAAGAGTGAGTTCCCCAGTAAAGTATTAAACCATTGAGGAAGTTGTATTAGAACCGAGCTAAGTGAGCTCAAAGCTATGCGATGTTCATTTGCTCAAATTAAAATTATAATTGAAATGCATCATAACTGTAGGTATATTTATATGATTTGTGGAATGAAAACTTGAAAGATGAAACACTCTGTATATCTTCAGGTGTAGAAGAAAAGCAGAAATCTAGAAAACCTGGCAGTGTTTTGCAGCGTCCCTTGTGTTTCAAGACCCATTCTTGTTTGGTCGTGTATTTTTCTACACGTAACAGCAAAAATGTACTGGATGGTAGTAGTTTTTCTACCAACTATGATTCTTAATAAACTGTAATGCAACATAGCTGAAGTTTGCATCTCTTGACCTCTATTTTCTCTATACTTTACCTGCATAGTGCGGAGAACCGTAATGCAACAGTACAATTCTGCAGTACGTTTTGCGAACCATCTAATGTTCACTTTTTTTTAGTATTTGTCCCAGACCTTGGATTTCATTTTTCTTGTATTGGATTGCATCACATTGAAAGGTGGTTTGTGGACATTTTGATGAAGTTGTCCTTGAATCCCTTGAATAATTGGAAACATGTGTCTATAGCTCTGTGCTGCTTTGAGTACATGTTGGTGTTTTGGATGCACATCAGTGGTTTAGCTACTTAAATCCTTTTCAACCTTTTAAAACCTCATTATAATTAGATGAAAAATTTACTTTTCTCCTCTTCATCTCACCTTTGACAAAATGGCTGTGAGGTAAAATTGTTGATTAAGGAATCAGAAGGAAAATGCACAAAATGTACTTTTACTGATTCATAATTTTACCTGCAAATGAGTCAAAACCTAATTGAAGAATAGACTGTGTTGCTTAGTAATATGAATTGCTAATCAGCAGCTCTTGAGCTGCATCACATCGGCACCATAGTCAGTGGCTGCTCTTGCTCAGTGAAGCTTGAATTTAGTTCAACAGTTAGTTACAACTGTTTTGTGGTTTTGGTTTTAAAAAGTAGAATTATAGTGCAATAATAATTTTACATTTATAGACATTTGGGATACCATTTATCTCACATTAACACAGGAACACTATTTAAAAAAAAAACAAAAAAAAACATACCATCCCATCTAACAGTTTGAACACATACTGTAGCATCCTAACTCAGTAACATATTTTTTGACTTTTTTTTTATCCACCTTTTATACATAGAACAGTTTTCTTAAAAGCCTGCAAACTTACCACTTACAGTACTCACATACCTCCCTCCCTCTCAGGGTCACTAAAGGACTCTTTAAAAAAATGTGTTGTTACAGTTCATGACAAATTTGGTTTATGCAAACTGAGCTGTGGCTCAACTTCCTCACCAGCTCAAATCACCCAAGCATAACTATCAAACTTTTTTACTCCAAATACAAGGTTTTCAGGCAGCCCCTAAAACATTGTTTGTATCATCATCATTACAACAGTAGCTGGGTTACAGAGTGCATGTAAATAATGTACGCCTTAGTAAAATAATCAGTACTGTAGGTGAATGAGAGGACAGTCAGTTTGAATGGCTTCTTCAGATCTTCTGATGCATGCAAGCTAAACCGAATGAATTTTTTCTCA